TTCACAAAGTTTCTATTAGAAGTTGAGTTGAAATCAAAATGTTTATTATGGTTTCCTTAAATCTGTTTATTGATAATCACACTAGAGCAACTATTATGTAATCTTTACCAATGGGTAATGTGATCCGAATTCTCAATAATCAAACTGTGAACATAACAAATAAAGAGTTAACATAAATTCCACCACTGGCAAACGAAATGCAAAATATTTCACCTTTAAACCGAAGCTAACCGGGCGTTTAAAAGACCATGATCTGCTTACACACAAAAATGACGGAATTGGTAAAACACAATTGAAACGGTTAGAGATTTAGTGTGAGAGGATCAGCTGGGAAGCCCTAAATAAATATTGATTCGAAAATGGGAAAAGACCTTTGCCATCTTAAAGCAAATCGTGGGACGGTTTCAGGTAAAGGTGTTAATATTTTTAGCATATCCGTTAGGACTGTTTACTTTTCTTCAAAGCAGAAGTTATTATTGTGCAGCTTTACATACAAGAACATTTGCTTGTTTGTATGTACGAATTTTTAAAAAACTCTACCAATTTTTTTCTCTTAAACTATTGTTTCGAAGATATATCCCGCAAAAGACGACTTGCTGGAGAAGCTTAAAGCTTTTCCTAAGAAGTTTGCATACTATTTTAGTTCATACTGTATCGTAATCGGTAAAATACACACCTCTACATACTTGTTTTCTAAACAAAAATTCTTTTTTCATACTGTCCTGATGATTTTTTGATGTCAACTGCCCTATAGCTTCTTTTTGACATTTTTTGTTTTGACGCACTAACCTTCAAAATCAGTAAAACATATATAAATTTCTCGTTCGTTCCTTGGAAATTTTATGAAAAAGAAAGCCAAATTGTTATCAAAGAGGTTATCAAGGAATGATGATATAGAATCAATTTCGACATTGGTACTATACCAGACCTTAAAGAATCTGGAGAAAGGAAATATCTTCTTCTTGTACTTATTTCAGATCTATTCGATCTGTTAGTTTTAAGTTTGCCTCTGTAGGACTTCTTGGGAGATAAACTGCCAACTATCTTTCCATCTGTTTGGAGGTCTTTCCGGCTGTTTCTTACCCATGGGCTTTCCTTCAAGAGCTATATATGCGTGGTAGCCTGTTTTCTTCAGTGCGTTTTACGTGTGCAAACCATTGTCTTTTTCTTTGCCTACCCCATCTCACTACGTCCTGTATTCCACATTCTTGTCTGATATTTGTGTTTCTAATTCTGTCTCTTCTAGTCTTCTCCATTATGGTTCTTAAAGTTCTTCATTTCAGCGACTCTTAACATTTGATTGGGTTTTGTTTATTTCCTGTCGGATTTCTATGCCATATGTTATTATTGGTCAGATGCAGGTCTTATAAATTTTAATTTTGCTGTCTGTTCGCATGAAGGGGTTTGTCCACACTATTTGCCTCAGACATCCTGATATGGCCGTCACTCTGTTTATTTGGCTTCTCAAGTCTTTCTCTGGATCATGGTAGTACAACATATCTATTCCAAGGTATCTAAACTGTGATACATGCTCAATAATTTTGTTTTCTACTACCAGTTTGCATCTTACCGGCTCTTTAAAAAAAGTTAAGTATTTAGTTTTTTTCTGTAGAGATAATCATATTTCATATTTAATTATCGGCTTACTTGATAGAATTTATGAAGCTGTCTCTGCATATCGTCTTCTATATATAGTAGAGGAGTAGTCTATATATAATAGAGGTCACTTTTTCTATGATGATGTCCATTAAAAGATTGAATAAGAAGGCTAAGGCTGTCTCCATGTCTAATGCCTCCTGGTGTTGGAAGATGCAAGAGAAATAAGAGCAGAAGACTTGTGTAAGATTTTTTATGCCACTAGTGGATCAATTTAAACGTCATATGAGTGAATAAAACTCATATTTACGTATGATTGTGGATAAAAAATATTATTTAAGGATATTAAAATACAAAAATATTCCTAACATAGCGAATATAGTTTGTTTTACATTAACTGTTATTTTCATTTTTAAAAAATGGCTTGAAGGATAAATAAGTAATTAATTTCGAAAATATAAAAACAATTAATCAATGCCCAGTCGAAATGCGACAACAGTTCCACCATTAGGTTAGTGAAATTATAAGCTGTTTTGAAATTCTATTATTTTTTTGTTAAAATACTTTGCTGGAAAATGATCATCAACATTTTTTCCCGACGTGATTAATGGATTTGTTAAAATTAATTAAATATTTTCATTAAAAAGAAAAATATTTTCTTCCTAACAAGATCTTGTTTCAACTCGTTGTTTCAACATTTTTAAAAAAAAATTGAAATATAAATTATTATAAAATTTTGCTTGATTTCAGCTTGTATAACTACACCAACAATCCATTATATAGGATGATATCTCGTACATATCAGTATCTCTATTTTCAGTACTTTATCTCAAACTATTACATTTACTTTTAATTCTCATTTGCTCTGTAATTTTGATATGCTTTATGATTTGGAAAATGTTAAGAAAACCAAAGCCTATTCACAACAAGTCGGGTTCTGAGTTCCATTGAAACTCCTACTGGTATGTGTACGAGATTAGGCGTAGCAGATGACACGCGGATACTCAAAAACATGCACTGATGACCAGCTGGTACCGAATAAGTAGTGATATTGCGTAATAACAACACGAAATTACAATTATATCGTTATTTTACATATTTCTTATTACGTGACAATAATAACCCTCCCCAAAACCAAATTCCCAATCTGCAGCTGATAGCGTGCCACTTTCTTAAACGATGCGGGTATGTTTTTCTTAAAAATACACACACATACCATTTAATTTCAGATTAAAAGAAGCAGTTTGCCCATCTGAACAAATTCCGAACACCAGTAACGTACATCAAACAGTCTTACAAGTAACCAGTATTTATATATCTGGTAATTCATCAGCTGAATTTACATATGTATATAAATACATACTACGTATACGCGGTGATCTTATCATGCGGGACAGATGTTTGGGTCCGAGCTGTGGTCACCTGTACCCACTTAGGGTGGGTGTTTTTTGGTATATCCGAAGGAATTTCTAATGAAATTCGAAAATGAGTGGAAGTATAATTTTCCCAAATATTTTCAATTTTAATAAGAGTTTTGAATTTAGAATATGTATACAGGGTTATTCACCACATACGACACGGATTTTTACAAATTATAAAATTTGGGTTCGTTCAAGGACTATTATTAGAGCTACAATTTAAAAATATGTCTACAAGATACAGAGTGTCCCAAATAAATAAAAAATAATATAGTTGTATTTTTTTAAATGGAACACCCTGTATATTATTTTATTTTGAGATTCTACGATTGAAATAAAGATAAATTTGATTAAGATATATCACACTTAAACGTTGCCGTTTTTGTTGTGTGTTTTCGAAAGGAATCAGTACATGTATATTATTTCGTATATTTTTCATTTTATTGATTTTATGGAAAGCACTGTTCATTAAAATGTTGTATCCTATGTCTAGGGCTTGTTTTTTTTTTCTACAATTTCCTGTCTCACAATGTACCGTTTGTGTCCAGGAAGGGTTCATAGTTTCATAGATGTCGATTTTCGAAAGAAATCAGTACGTGTATATTATTTGGTGTATTTTTCATTTTATTGATTTTATGGAAAGCACTGTTCATTAAAATGTTGTATCCTATGTTATAGGGCTTGTTTCTCTATACAAATTCCTGTCTCACAATGTACTGTTTGTCTCGGGGAAGGGATCATAGTTTCATAGTTGTCGATTTTCGAAAGAAATCAGTACATGTATATTATTTCGTATATTTTTCATTTTATTGATTTTATGGAAAGCACTGTTCATTAAAATGTTGTATCCTATGTTATAGGGCTTGTTTTTTTTCTACAATTTCCTATCTCACAATGTACCGTTTATGTCCAGGAAGGGTTCATAGTTTCATAGATGCCGATTTTCGAAAGAAATCAGTACGTGTATATTATTTCGTCTATTTTTCATTTTATTGATTTTATGGAAAGCACTGTTCATTAAAATGTTGTATCCTATGTTATAGGGCTTGTTTCTCTCTACAATTTCCTGCCTCACAATGTACCGTTTATGTCCAGGAAGGGTTCATAGTTTCATAGATGTCGATTTTCGAAAGAAATCAGTCTTACATGTATATTATTTCGTATATTTTTCATTTTATTGATTTTATGGAAAGCACTGTTCATTAAAATGTTGTATATTGTCTATCAATTTGTATTATACCATTTTTTACCAATTTCTTCAAGTTTTCGTAGAAAATGTATTTAGGTACTTATAATTTAGACCTCATTTATCAATATACTCATGGAATATTGACATTTTACTACAATACATAAAAAAATACATAAACAACATTAAATATACATTAGGATAGATCAGTTATATATACAGAGTGGTCTTAAAGAAGTGCAACTATTTTTAAGGGTTGTCTATTTCGACCCCAGAAACACGACTATGAGTTTATTTTCAAAAAAAAATGAAAATTTTGTATTTTTGGATTTTTTTTTGCGATTTTTAATTATAAAGCATATCTTGATTCTATGGCAACATAGGTTTTAGATCCAATTTAGAAGAAATAAAACCTAGAAAAAAAATACAGTGATTCTCAAAATGTAAACAAAAAATTTATTTTTTAAAATTTTCAAAGTAAAATAACTCGGTTATTTTGAACTTATTTGAAAACCGGTAAAGGAGAAATATGTTTCTTTTATCGAGATCTACCAGCCCTGAGAATGTTTGCGCTTATTTAAGACTTACCCCGTATGCCACAATGCAATATAATTCATCAGTTAAAGAGTTCTTTCCAATGATGTCCTCAATTCAAAATACTGTGTTAAATACTTTTTATATTGAGTTGACTCATGACACTGACAAATCAGAAACTTTGTTAAATTCCTAATAAAATAAGTCACACGTGATCTCAAATGATCGAACTTCTACCATCTACGAATCTAGCTTTAACTACTTACAGTTATCCAACGCCTCCAAAACAGATTCCAAAAAACTAGGACACCATCAACAACTCAAATCACCAGTTTTTTCGCAAAAAATCAGTCTAAAATCGTTCACCAGTTGCCAAAAACTCGCGCGCATGGCGGGCTAAAGTCCGATTCACACTGGCCGGCCACTACAAGGCCCTTGGGAGCTGTTTTCGGCGCGAAATCCACTATGCGATTGCCGGTGGTGTGCCGTCAGACCAGTTGATAGCGTACTACCTGGCCAGGTAGCTCCCTGAATTCGCCTTTCTCCCTTTAAAGCATTGTTGTTCTTCGGTAGACCTGTCTTTCTCTGTTCGACACGTTGATATCGGGGTCTTTTTCTTCAACACGTGGTGGCTGGGTATATGGTGTTCTTCGTCTGATTTGTGGTCGATATTGGTCTTGGTTTTATACAAAGATTATTTTTTTGGTTGCTTTCTTTATCATAAAAAAACATGTTATTTAAGCAAATTGAATCAAAATATCAACATCAAAATGTTTCCTTAAATTATCCACTTGATAAAGCGGAACTCAAAAACCTGGAAATTTCCATCCGTAACCTGGAAAGGGAATATTCCAACAATCTAAGACACTCGAAGAAATTTCTCAAGACTAAAGCTTCATTCAGAACCTCGCAATTAGTGGTTTCAATTACACTTTACACTTTTTAGTTTACGATCATTCACAATGTTTAAAAAACACAGTAATTAAAATTAATAGAATATCCTAGCAACAGCTTACGTTAGTCAGTTGTATCCATGAGAAGGCTCCATGGAAGGCTCTCATGGATCCATGAGAAGATTCTGATTTCTAACCACAATTTCTCTTGACGGAAGATAACCAAAGGCCAAAATGGTATTTGTCGCAAATTTTGAAGAATAATTAGTGGAAAAGTCAAAAGTTTGATGACTTTTTCAACTAATTGAAAATGTCCAAACCAATTTTGGCGTTCTGAATAATTACACTGAAATTAAAGGAACTAAGTTCTATGCTAATTGAAACCGTTAATTTATTCCACTAATTGCGAGGTATTCCACCATATTCCACGATGATTCTTGGGCACTGTTTTCTTTAGAATATCATCTAAGTGGATACTAAAAAGACATGGGGACAGAACGCCAACCCTGCCGCTAGTATATCTAGTAGTCCCAAAAGATTATCTGGAATATATCGGTTATATATTATTTACATATATTATTTACATACATTAGTATATTAGTTATACATTACAAAAGGCCACAAGCAGGGATGTTGCCTATCTCCTATACTATTCAAAATATACCTGCAACAAGCACTAAAAAAATGGATGCTCTGGGAATCCCCCTAATAAATGAGGACACCCTATACACCCTATTTTTTGCGGACGACCAGATAGCCCTAGCCCAAGATCACGACGACCTTGAATATATGGCAAGGAAGCTGATAGAGGAGTATAAGAAATGGGTGTTGGAGGTAAATATCACCAAAACTGAATGTATGACTGTAGGGGAACAAGAGAACATAGTCTTAGAGGATGGAAGCGTGATAAAAAACTGTGACAAATATAAATATCTCGGATTAAAAATAACTAACGATGGAAAACTCGACGAGGGTATAAAAAATCGAATAATGCAAGGCAGAAGGGCAATATCTATGTTGAATGGTGTACTGTGGGATCAAGGAATCTCTAAAGCTAATAAGAAGAACATATATAATACGTTAGTGAAAAGCATAATAACTTGGAAGCGAAGTATGGCAGTTGAAAAGCAGAACAGAAATGGATTACTGGAGGAAATCTGCTGGAAAATCGAAAAGAGAGCAAATAACCAACGACAGAGTAAGAGAGATTATGGGAGCAGAACACACAATTGTGGACGACATAAGAACAAAACAACTCATATGGTTTGCCCGAGTCCTTGACATGCCCGATTACAGAATACCAAAACAAATTTTACTGATGTGGACACCTCGAGGCAGAAATAAAAGAGGAAGGCCGCGACGAAGCTGGAGGGAGGGTGTGGATAAAGAACTAGAAAATAGAGAAATACCTGATGATCTCTGGCTAAATAGAGAAGAGTGGAGGTTAGGTGTCGGAAAACGTCGTAGAACGTTCTGAACCGACTTATATATATATAAACGACAACGTTGCTGCTCGCGGCGCAATGTGACCAACATGGCGATAATAAAAGTCACTTTAAACTAATTTTTGCAGCTTTAATCTAAATAAAATATCTGCTACAATCATTTGCTCTACAAAGTAAAATGAATATCTAAAATTATACAAAAAATTTCAACATTTTTGGGCAAAATTTTATTTAGTCAGGTTTATAGGCTTTAGTGTGAACTTCTCTATGATTGATGACGTGCATCGGAAAATGTTTTGCGATTACCGTATGTTTTTTTTTTGGTAATTATATTTCTAAACCTAATTTAAATTCAGCCATATTTTACCGAAATCTCCCGTCATTTCTCACCGAACTTCTTGTTAAATCCGAAGGGAGTCATCATATCGAGGCCGACGTGTCCCGGTCTCGGACAAAAGACATCCGAACAGAAGTCGTTAGCGCATAACAAAAGCACCGGGACTTCCTTATTTGCGATTTCTACCTAAAAATACGTAAGCAAAGGTGAATAGGTGATCGAGACTAATAGGGAAGCGTGTAAAATCCTCAAACTTTGAGAGTTTGCTCCCTTTTTTATGGCTTTTCGACCGAATTATCTTTTCTCCGTTGTTGGTATTGTGCATGGGAAGCAGATGGTCGAGTTTGATTGGATTCTCTTGCGGTTAAGGCGCTATAAACGTCATTTTACGATGTATCAACGGCTTCGATTTTATAGGTTTCGGACATTTTAATATGGTTTGAATGGACTGATGCTTATTGTGAAAAATCAACTAATAAAAAGTAATATGCTTAAAATTTTGTATATTTAGATGTATGTAGTCCCGTATAAGAATGCACGCTACAGGGGGTTTGTAAACCAAATGATATACGAAAGTGATTAAATGCCAAAATCTGTTAACGTACAAAAATATACAGCATTGTCTTTTTATCAAGAGGAAAAACTTTTTTATTATTGACATTTTCAGAAAAAAGCATTCTTCATAAAAATTTTGCTTGTTCTAAAATGTTTAACCTCGCTATATTTTTTTCAAATATCAATACCGTTTTAGAGAAAATTAAAAAAAAAATGAAAATATGGTTAATTTTTTTTCCTAAAAATCAAAAAACATTTCTATGATAACATAATTTCGATTTTATCCTTTGATAGAATGTTATTGGTGTGATTATGATTGTTATGAACAGCAAAAAATATGACGCTAATTAAAACTCTATCAATAACAGTTTATCAAAGGATGAAAACGGAATTATATTACCATAGAAACGCGTTTTGATTTTTAGGACTTTTTAGAAGCAATTAAAGTTCATATCAAATAAACTTTTAATCACGTGATTAAGCTTGACCGGCACAGCGTTGGCTCACTTTTACATATTTTCTTTTAATCAAAATATTTGAAACAAAAATAAATTAATTATAAATATATACACAATCATTATTTATTATCAACAAAATTCACCTCCTTAACAGTACTTATGGGATATAAAGGGGTGATTACTACCGCTTTCTCGTTTAAAATATTCTAATAAAGTTGCAATGAGTTTTTTTACGGCTATTAAACTATCTTATACACTTCGCACTAAAAGAAGTTTTAAAAAGAACAAAGTTCGACTGCAAGGTCTGTTAGTAAAAAAATGTAAGCTTAAAATATCACAAAACAGTTCATTTAAACCAAAAACTCGTAATACAAAACTAAAATATCAAAACGAGTGACAATGTCAGGAAATAAATAAATAAACGTGGCAACTTGACATGTTTTCACAGCAGAGCTACCACCTGAATCTCCAGCCGGAAATTTAAATACCAGTTAGTCAGCACGGCGGCGAATATGTCCATGGTTGGCGACAATGAATCTAAAAATCGCGCCCTCGACTATGTAACTAAAAGTTCAATTAGTATCCAATATATATGTTCATGTTCTTTTAATTTTCTCTAAATAAAATTCAAATAGTATAAAAGTGATTATTAACCTTTTATTAGAACGAGCAAAAAATTTTATGAAGAATCAATTTTTCTCAAAATGTCAATAATAAAAAAGTTTTTCCTCTTGTAAAGACAATCCGGGGACATTCTGTATAGTTATTTAGGCCTAAATACAATAGTTTTTATTTAAAGTTGTCTCTGTAATGGCGAGATGACATTCGCCATATAATTTTACATACAAAATACAAAATATCAACGATCTTCATTTACAAGCCATTTATGATGCATATTTGCTCATAAAGCTGATAAAGCAGATTGCTGATAAAGCACCGTAATTATAAAAAAAAAAACAAGTAAATCTACTTGAGCTGCAGTTTCATGACTGTGATAATGATATTTTCCAAGTGACGAAATATGTCGAATCCTTGGCGTGTCAAATTCTGAGCTTTGCCCCCTTTCATTGTTCATTCGTTGGTATCTTTATTGTCTGTTGAAGAACAGATGCTAGGGTTCGATTGGATTCTGGTGGTTTTACGACAGAAAAACGCGATTTTATGAGCCATTAACAGTCCTCTCTTATCTAGTATTTCGCACACTTTAGTGTCTACTAACGGATAATTTTAAGATCCCCTGTAATGGAACAGACCACCTAGCAAGAAACTAGTAATAAAGATGATACAGATCTGTTGTTATCCAGATTAGTTGTTGTCTTATTTTGTACCAGGTTAAGTTTTTAAAGTTTTAAAGAAGTTTTTTGTTTAGAAAATTTTAAGTAAGTTCCTATATTATCTATTGAGCGAGTTTCGTTTTTTATAAGCTTAGCAATGAGCTCTTCTTCATTTTGGTTAAATCTTTATTATAAATTATTATTGCAATAAAAAAAAATTGAATTTTGTTTTACACTAACAATCAAATTTTAATTTTGACATTAATCGATGTCCGTCAATAAAATTAAAAGCTCAAGTCAAATGACAATGACAATTACTAGAAAGAATATGCAGTAATTTACGAAATGACGTCATCAATATCTTCCATCTGGTTGGCAAGTAATCGACAATATATGACGTTGAACGATGGCAGAACATTCTTCGAGTATATAATATCATATGTATGCATGTTCCTATATTAGTTTTTCATAAACTATCCAATGGG